CACCAGAGGGGAGGCCCCTGCCTTCTGGCCTTGCCTCTCTGCAGAAGGTGGCTGACTCTCCCTGGGGGCACTCGGAATGGCATGAGACTAACAGGCAATGCCTCTGCTGTTCGACCAGGGCAGACCCACCTTCCCTCCACACACCCACCCCTCTGCAGAGGCCAGGAGTGGGAGGAGGCCCCTCAGACAGAAACTGCATCTCAGAACCATCAACAGCTGGCCCTGTCTGATCCCCTCTGGCCTCTCTCATCCCCACCCCTGCAGTGGAGTGAGGGCCGTGACCCCGGGTCGCTGGATGCTTTATCTTGTCCTGTGCGCCGACTTTGGCCAGGTCGCCTACTCTCCTGTGTGAGGCCACAGCAGGTGTCCAGAAACGCCTTTCAGACATGCCCTGCACCCCAGCACCTCCTGAAGAAGCTTTTGAGGACATATCCCGGCACAGTGGTGGACCCAAGTCTCTGGCCTCTGGCAGGACACAGGAGGGACCATGCACTCCCGTCACAGTCCTCGGTCCTTGGGCCCAGCAGGAGGAATCGAAGCCTGGCCGTGCCCCCTACCCCCACCACGTCAGAATCCATTACACCACCTACCACTGTTGTCACTCAAATGATGCTGTCACTTGAATGAAAGCCATCCTGCCTGGAAAACATTTCCACACGCTCTGCCACTATCTGTCCTTCCTCGCTTGTCTCTCTCGAGTTTGCAAAGGAAACACCTGAGTTCAGGGACCAGGCCAGCCCAGTGCGTGTTGACACCGTCTTAAACAAGACTGTTAAAACTAGATGCTTCTGTAAAGCAACATGTTCCATTAGAAGAATGAAAAAGCAAAGCACAAAACAGAGGAAGACATTTGCAAAACATTAAACCAACAAAGGTGAGCAGCCAGAGGCATAGAGGACTCCTACAGGTCAGGAGAGACGCAGCGTGCAGTAGGCCGGTGGGGAACCCTGATGAGAAACACCGCCAGAGAGGAAAGAACTCCAGCATCCAGCGGACACGGGGTTGATGCTCAGACTCACACCTGAAACCACCAAGAGAACACATTCCCCAAACTGCTGGTGACCAAGTGCCCAGCCCAGTGCGAGGGAGCTGTGCGGCTGGGCCCTCTGGCTCCCGGTGTGTTCCCAGGCCAGCCTCTTGGTGGGTATCATCCAGAGAAGCTGAGGACGCAGCCACACCCACGACCTGCCTTCCACTCCCAGGATGAGACCCGAAGCAGGGACTCCCACGCAGGAGGACACAGCGTCCTTGCAAGAGCAAACTGGGAACCACGGCCCACAGGCCTGGGTCCTGGCGTGGCCTCTGGGCGGGGTGGCGTTTGCACATGGGACATGGATCAAGTCCACAGCACACACAGCGGATGTGTACACACCCCAAACACGTGGCGTGAAAACCAGATGCAAGAACACAGATACTGGATTCTGCTCACGTGAACTACAAAAATAGGGTAAATTAGACTACGGTTTAGGGATGTGTTCACACACACGCCATGAGGGTTGGCCCTGCCAGGTGCCAAATGCATGTTCACAACCAACATAGAAAGATGGCATTTCATTCCTGGAAAAGCAGGATATAAACGATGTTGGGACAATTAGGTATCCAAATGGAAAGAAAAATTTGCATCTGTAATCTCTTTACCAAAAGAAATTCCAGTTGTATTAAAGATGTAATTAAAAAGTAGAAATCCCAGAAGCAAAATTGGACAATGTGGTTTTTTTGAATTTCACAACCAGGAGTGATTGTCTCAGAATGACTCAAACTCCATAAATGAAAGTCATTTAATTTGATGATATCACAATGGCATAAATATAAAAATGTCAAATGGCAGAAAAATTCGCAGCACGTCAGAGAGCTTTCCTTATGAAAATACCGACCAATAGAAAAATGGGCTAATGACAAGAATAATTTACTAAAAGGGAAATAAAGCAGTTCATAAATATGTGAGAAGATGCTTTCCCTCCCTGTAAGGGCACGAGGCAGGTGCTTCATCGCTGGTGGGGGTGGGTTGGCACAGCCGCTGCAGGTGGTGAACAGCAAGATTGGGGCTGAATGTGTGTGCCCTTTGACCCAGAAATTTTTAGAATTTATTCCACAGAGAGCCACTTGAGCGAAATTATGTATATATACAAATACTCCAGCAGCATTTTAAACAGTGAATGATTACAAATGGCCAAAATGTACATCAGTGAGTAACTGTATCACAAATGCATGAAACATCCGTATAATCGAAGAGCGGGTGTTTTAGTGAGGAACGTGAACCTTGGGTTTCTCTTTACTAGTCCAGCTAACGGTGGAGGAAGGCACAACAGCAGCGCCACAGAGGTGCCCTGAGACCCCCGAGGTGCTCCTGCCGAACGGAATCGCAGGGGAGCCTGAGGTGGCCTCGGTCTGACCACCTCTCAATAGGACGGAGCAGAACACGCAAAACCACAGGGCCCCGGTCGGCGAGTGCAGAGGGTGCACAAGCCCTTCTTTAGCTGAACTGAAAAGAGCGTTGGCGTCGGGGAGACAGAAAGAAAGGTCGTGTCGTAGAGGTCACACGGGCACTGCCGGATTCCAGCAAGCAAACTTAAAACATGAAGCAATTTATAAGGCAATGAGGAAGATCTGAACATTGATTGGATATTTGGAATTCTGTGGTGGAATGGTGGTTTTATGGTCTTTTGAACGTTTTTCTCTCTTTGAGATACATCAGGGAAACAATAATGGATGAAATTAGGCTAGAATGAGTGTCACACCCCAGCGTGGGGATTTGGAGGCGTGGAGGACACAGAAGGTGGACACGCTGGCTCCAGGGATGGGTACGTGGGGCTGGTTTCCCGTCGCTTTGCTAATACGGCTCAAATAAGCTGGAGATATCCCTGAACAGAAAGGTCACAGCAGCAGAGCCCAGGGGCTCCAGTGGCTTCACACGGAATAACCTCCAATCTACATTATGTGAAAAGAGCAAGACATGGAACAAGCATGTGCTGTGAGGCCACACTGCCAGCTGCCCCTGGAGGAACACGCAAGACAGGTGACCGCGGGCGCTCCAGGCCCTCCAAGGACATGGCGTGTGCAGGACAAGGAGGAACCTCCTTTCCACGCTAAGCCCACTCCCTGGGAAGGGTTTTCACCAAGTGCCTTGGGGTTCACATGAGCGCCCCAAGGTGGTAGTGACCCCACAGGTCACCATAACACACACAGTAACAGTTTGACGTATTGCGAGAATTACCACGAGGAGACGTGGAGTGGGCGTGCTGCTGGAAGAGCGGCACTGATGGGGTTGGAGGGGGTCCCTGAGAAGTCGATCCTGAAAAGGCTGTTTCTGAAACACTAAACCAGATATTTGTAGAATTTGCATTTTATAACTGCTGCTCAGAGCCTCCCGCTCACTCATCTAAATGTCCCTGGTAAGCTGGACAATGGTGATTCAAAGTTTTTCATTTACTTTGCTCAGATCCATCAGAGCAATCACTATCTATGGCGGCTACAGCCTTAGAAAATGTCTTTCTTCAATAAGACCTGAGAGTTAGAATGGCTCCCAGACCCATGGGCTGCAGAACGGAGGCTGTGTCAGCACGAAAACATGAACCTCGTACACTGGCCTCAGAGCTCTTGGGTGACCAGGTGACCGTCA